GGCTCCTCTGTGGAAGGAAAGGGCGACAAAACCCCGCCCAGATGTCGTGACAGGAGTTGGTGCCGGTGCCATCAGCTGCCCCGGGTGCTCGGGGTCTGGAAACCGTCGCTGCAGCCGCCCCTGCGCTCCCCCTGGTCCTGGGCGGGGGTCGGAGGCCGTGGCAGCTCCTTATGCAAAGTTTAGGAAATGCACAGATTTCCCAGACTGAAGCTGAGCTCCTGGTCTTGGTGCCCGGGTTGTCTCCGGGCTCTTCGTCTGAGATCGATTAAGAATTGCTGGACTTGATCCAAGATTCAGAAGTTGGTGTATATGTTAGTTAAACCGGTGCTAAGAGTTTATTTTTACAGTTTCTTCCAGTCACTCAGCCATCACTATCTGTGCTTTTTATTAGTTTGAGGTTTAAATTAATTTCCCAGTTTCTTCAGAGCTCTTCTTACTGCTCTCCTTCACATTCCTCTCATGCACCTTTTCTCTAGATAAGCCACTCCCGTTTAATTTTCAAAGCTTTTCTGTTTTGTGGTTGTTCATGTCTTCTTCCCTGAATACTTCAGGGTGCCTTGTCCGTTTTAAAAGACAGACATTGGCTCTTCTGTCCACTAAAATATTAAAAAAATATATAAAGTTGACTGTTTCAAATTGGATGCTACTAAAAAAAAGCAAGGGGACAATCTGTTGTTTCTCTTGTATCTAAATGAAAACCCTTTTAAGGAGAGATCTGAAGAAGTTTGTTAGATCTTTGTTGTACCTAGGTATGTTCAGTATAAAGGGTTGTGTCAGAAGCTTCAGGGTTTTGTGCTGTTCTTTTACCTGAACATAAAAGCAGCTCAGTTGCTACTTCATGTCCTTTTGTAACTCTTCTGTGTGTTTATCATTGTACAGGCAATGGAGCCAAGTGCAAAGATTTGTGAAATGGGCCTCAACAGTAGGTATGAAATTTTAACTTCTTTAGCTAGTAGGTTTAATCAGGTGTGTCATGTGGATGGTTTTAGAGTTAGTTTTAGACCATTAGTTGCAAAAACCCTGTAGTTTAAAAAAAATAAATATTCAATATTTGGTTAGTTTTAGAAAACAGTAGCCTGTAGCAACGGAAATAATCTTTAGTGTGTATACAACATATTGAATGATTTTATCTGTCATATTTAGGTATACTCAACTACTTATGAAAACTTTATTTTTGTGATGTTTTCCTCTGAGTCCTTTTCTGATACAAACATTGCAAAGTCTTTTTTAGACATCATGGTATTTAAACAATATACGAAGGTAAGTAAAAAATATTTAGCAAGATTATTTAAACTGTCCCTGTTTTAATGTTATTTAAAAAGATCTGTTTAAGAATTCAGAGATGTATTTTCATTTTATTAGTTAGTTTTCAGCTAGTTCTGCCTGTGAGGTCTCTGGCTGTGCTGGCCTAATATTTCTAACATGTTTTAATTGCTTTCATGAGACTTGTATGTCACTGTTTAAAAAAACCCCCTCAAACAAAATCCCACAAAAAATCTTCCTATCTTGTTATTTCTTTGTGCCTGGATGTCAGTGGGGAATAGTGTTCGTCAAAGAAACGTGGATCACTTCTACTGGAGGGAGGAGGTGGGAGGTTTTAATTGTTTAGCTGGTTCTGAAAGTGCACAGTAAAAATATAAGCATCAACTTTAATGTTTAAACATTGTTTTAGGGTTAGAATATATTTCTTGGATTCAAAAAAGATAAAAAAGAGTTAAATTAAACATACTTCTGTGTAAGAACTCAAAGGAGAAAATTGCAAGACTCTCATGGAAGTGATTTTGAACGAAGCATGTTTTTTCATTATTGTAAGAAATGCACAAATGCTGTAAATGATGGAAATCTGAATTTTAAAGGCTATATTTATTTTAAAAATGGCTTTCTGTGCTTCATCCTTGTAACCAGGAGGTCACAGCATCGGGAAGGTCCTCATCGCCAACCGAGGAGAGATCGCGTGCAGAGTGATGCGAACAGCAAAGAAAATGGGTGTGAAGTCTGTAGCAGTTTATAGTGAAGCAGACAGGAATTCCATGCATGTAGCAATGGTGAAGTATACTCATTAAGTTTGTGATTGACATTCATTCACAACATTCTCATTAAGAAGTTCAATGTGAAAGTAAGATGGGTGTGCTAAGGCGTTTGATTTTCACTGCTGTAGAGTTACTTCCACGTTTTCCTTGAATCTGTGAAAAGTTTGCCTGGTCTCTGCCTCAGCACCTGACAATTTACAGGAAGTGCATTAAAGTTTGGCACTCTTAACTCCAGCCTAGCCACTGGGGGTTAGAGGTAGATACTGTTATTTTGGAAAGAAAGTCAGAATTTGTTTCATCCAGTTGAGAGTCTTCCACGAGAAGACACAGTGATTAAACTGCTGCATGCTAGCAGTCTGATAAACCAGATGGTTAGCTCAGAGATTCAGTTAAATTTGCTTTTTATTATCTAATAGTCTGTGTTACATGTATTGTTTCTGTAACAGGCAGATGAAGCATATTGCATTGGTCCAGCACCCTCACAGCAGAGTTACTTGGCCATGGAGAAAATAATGCAAGTGGCCAAGGTCTCAGCAGCACAGGTAGGTAGACCACAATCATTGATTCCATGTTCTTCTTAATTTCTCCAGTCATGTTTCCATAGCACTCTACTCAAGTTTCAGGGTTTTCTAAGCTGAAGTGATATAAAAATAGGCTGGTAACATTATTCTATTTTAGGCTATTCATCCAGGTTATGGTTTCCTCTCAGAAAACACAGAGTTTGCAGAGTTGTGCAAGCAAGAGGGAATCATCTTCATAGGTCCACCTTCATCTGCTATCAGAGATATGGGTATTAAGAGGTATCTATTTCTAATTTGTTACTTTTGTATGCAATTTACAGTTTGGCAAAGCTAATTTTGTTGACAAATTACTGATTGCTCCTAATTATTTTATTCTGTCAGTTTTTATTGTCTTTTATTTTTATGGCTTTCTTCAAAGGAATAAGCTCCAGGTTGTTTATAGATTGTTTGTTGTTTATAGGGATTCCTATAGGCATAGCAACAAGCAAGATTGTTCAGTTATTAGGATTTTAATTATTACCTAACTGGTGCTGGTTTTCCAAATTTGGGGCATTGTGGTGTTACATAGGTAAAGGTTCAGCA